CATCTGCTGCAGAACGCAGCACTGGCTCATCTTGAGAATGGAGAGGGAGAGACCAGGTTCTTGAAGAATCTGCCTCTGGAGGCCTTACTGCATAATCTAAATAACAAAAATGCCCACCGAAACCCCGCACCCACTACCAAAATCCCCACTGTTAGAAGACGGGAGAAATTCTGATATGATCTGCACTCGTGCAACTAAGATCAGGAAGAGGCTTAGGAAACAAACCCTCAGCTAGGATAACTGGCCGATTTGTGCTTAGGTGGTTAGTTGGATCGACAGGCTGGAAAGAGAACACTTCCCTACAGCCATGCATCACTAACGCCTGTGTGCTGGCAGATACATTCACATTTCGACTGCAAGGGCTTTGTAATGGATTCCTCATTCTGCTGCACATTACCCAGTAGGTACCACAGAGGTCCTCAACCTGTACTGCTGAAGAGCTATCACAATAGACGCACCCCTAGCAAGAAGGTCCCAATTTTTTGTTATCTTTTCAAGTCTTTTTGGAGAAAATGGAAAATATTATTATTTTAGGTGAACATTTTCTTTAACATTTTTCTAAGATACTAGTCCTTATGCTCCAGGCCTGTTGCCATAATCTCTGGACATTTTCAGGTTGTTGAGACTCCATAGGGAAACCCTGGCCTCTCTAGGGCAATTTCCACATACCTCGATCTTTTCCAGACTATTGGGGCTGTTCCCATCGTCTCAAAATAAGCCTTCAGCAGTCAGGAGCTTAACCCAGGCCCTGGGCAGAGCAGCAGCCTGTCTAGCAGGTGAGATGCAAGAGGCCTTGGGCTGCCACTGTGGTTACTAACTACTTCTTCCTCGGTATTGCTTGAGAGCATTATTTGTGGTACGGATTGTTGGTGACTTCAAATACTGGACTTTTCTATTGGTAAGAAACAATCAGAAAATGCCTGTTCTCCTTAAGGTTGCTTTTTTGAGCCCTCTGAGTAATGTTCTCAGATGATTGAGGCTCTTTCCTCTTCAGAGTTGTGTTTGCAAAGGTGTATTCTCTCTCACCTTAGGCTATAGCTTAAGTCATTGTTAAATACCATTTAAAAAAGCAAAAATAGCAATACAATAGATTCCTGTCGAGGCTTTTTTCTAGCAAACATTGTTACCTACGTGACCTTAATCCCATTTCCCTGAATGAGATGTTCTTGTCTTGAAGGTAAAAATTCACCTTGTTTCATGTTCTTGTTTCCTGAGAAGAATCTATCAATAGCAGAATGTGGATAAATTGGTAGGGGAAGATGAATTTACTTCCTCTCCTTCCAGTACTCAGAGAAGACTGCGAGTTTTCTGTGGATTTAGGTAAGTATTAATGCTGGCTAAAGAAGTTACTGAGACAATTGCTTGTGAGGTTCAGCTGATAGCTAGATCCCTAAACATATCCATATTAAAAACAACCCGTATTTTGGGAAGAACCCAAGTAAGTAAGGCAGTATATAAAGCTGAGAAAGCTTCCAGTTTCAATCTGGGCTCTACAGACACAAGACAGGAAGCTTTAGGAATATTTTTCCATGGCAGCTGGAAGAAAGGATTAATTTATGATTAATTCTCCAAAGCTAGAATGACTCCAAAATGTGAACTTCATCAGAGAAATCTTGGGAAATGCCAAGCCAAGAGTGCTGTGAAGTGGTGCTGGGTGTAGGAAGCTTTTTATTTGGTCAAGAGCAGTCAGCTCCATGCAAGGATTCACTCATTTAGCAGGATTTTAGGTGACGCTGTCATTGAGTCAGCTGTTCAAGGTAGCAGGGAGATGAAATAGTTACATGTGTCATTTCTAACAAATTAGTTGGAATCCGGCAAAAAGCAGACAGACAAAATCCACATACGTATTTCCAGAAAGCAAATTATTTTCGACTGAAGGCCAACCCAATGGTAACAAATTGGTATGCTGACATGAAATGCGTAGGTAAGAGCATAAGGTCTAAATACCATCTGATTAGAGTTATGGCAGAGATTTAATTTCTGCAGTTTGCAAGGGATAATATGGAATCTCCTTGGAACAGTATGATAGTACTGTTTCTGTATACTGCTTCTTTAGAAGATGGTAATGCTTATGCTTTGATATTAAATGGAATTTGCAGGAAGGCATCCTCTTTTTTTAGAGCAAGGAGATAAGAGGCTTCTTTTGGGAGATGAATTTGCAGAAAACCACAATTCATCTAACAACATATAGAGACACTTTTGCTGCTCTGGACTATTATTTGCAGTTAACTACAGTAACATCACATGCTCAACTTCTTTGTTGTGAAGTAAGGGCTTCTGCATCGTCTGCTAAGTGTGTGTTTGCAAAAGCAAATGCCATTTATAGGTGAAGAGTCTCAGTTCTTTTAAATCAAAATCATTATGAAATGCAAGGCTAACTAATGCTCTGACAGGCTTAGGCAGAAATGCAAAACTGCCTGGAGCCTTTGGGTTGACACCACTTGTTAGAACATGGCAGTGGCCAGACTGGAGACACATACGTTCCTCTCTGTCCCTCACATGCGATTTTTTCATATTAGGCTACAAATTTGTCAGTTACAAGGACGTGTCTCAAAGTTATCATTAACCATACTGTAACAAAGCATTTTTTCCTGGGCTTCTGCAATCCTGACACAATTAGGTGAGTGGAAAAGGTTCATCTTCTTTGTGCAAGCAGTCTGTGCTTGCCTCTAGGGACAAAGGCAACTTAAAGCACACTTGCATGAATTTGACAGCAGCTATTGTAATGTTGCCACAGAGCAGACCTAAGTGTTTTTGCTATATAGCATGTGGCTTAAGATCTTGTCTGGGCTTGTTTTAGATAGGGTCTGTAGAGAAGGAAAATGGAACTCACAAGTGATCGTATCACAGGCTTGTCCTTACCCAACAGAAGCTGCTGGCCTGAAAAACCATTACTTGAGTACAAGTTCATTACAGTGTTCTGCACAGAAGTGCTTGATGAAAATAGTCAAGTTAAGCTACAGATTGCACGCTTTTATGTGCTTGTGCCCTCATCTCTACTCCTTGAGTTTAAGGCAACAGTACAGGAAAACATCGCTTTGTCAGCTATTCTAGAAAATACCAGCCAAGTCCCTGACATACATATATATATGATATTAAACAGAGGTGACATAGGCTACCTTTAAGACTGAATTACTGCCTAATTCATACATTTAGGGCTTCTCTGTGGGCAGCAACTCTTTGCATTAGAAGTATAGTATATGCCGGTTTTACTGCCTGTTTTTGCTTTTCCCCTGTGCAGCAGAGATATCTAAGCAAACTAGCAGCATATGTATGCTTTTGAACTTCCCTGCCACATGTTCTGCAAACTACTGTGACCTCAAGGTGCTAAAACAGTTCTTTCACGTTATTTTCCTGTGTAAGGGCAAGGGGTACAGAGTTGGCGTGCTCAGATTTTCCCCTATTTGGAGGTACCAGTGAGACTGTGTGTCAGCTTCCTTCGTAATCCCTTCCCCATTCCCTTAATTATATAGTTTGGGTATGTATATAGTTATGTACAGAATACATGTCCTCATGCCTGCCCTACTGTCTCTTCCAACTGTTGACATGTTCTCTCAATGTATATGTGAAAAACAAGAGTGTTTGAAAACAACCTCTCTGGATAACACTGATGATTGTTCTCTGGCCTCGGGCTACTCCACCAGGAACAGTTAGCTCTTTGTCAGGGACATCAGCTGGACACACACAAACTGACTGGGGATTTGTTCTGGGCCTCTCTGCTTCAGAAACAAAACGAGAATCCACAGTGGGCTTGTGTTTATCTACAGATTAATTGCCCCCCCCTTTCAAGGCAGTACTTCTCTGTGGCTTGTGACTGGGGTCAATTTGTTGAGATTTGCCAAACTATGGTGGCTGGGTATAGTTTTTTACATGGCCTTCTATACTCTGGAGAAAATAATTACTAGTACACACTTGACAGGAATTTTAGGGTGACAGAGTAATGGAACTTCTAACCTTACACAAGCACGTGCCTTTAGCATGCCCGTAGCTCCAGAGCAAAGACCATGAAGTAGCACCTTCTGCTTCTCCAAACCGCCCTGCTGATCTTCCTGTTTGACCCAAACAGAACAGAGGTAAAACAGCAAGTTTACGCCATAAAATAAAAGCAGAAAGCATGCAGGGAACTGGTTCTGCATTTCAAGCCTTACCATGTTCTAATAGGCTCTGTCAGTAAACTGCTCTTTACACCACTTCTGTGGCTTTAGAGAGAAGCTTGCAATTGCTATTTGGCATAGTTTGGGGGTTTTTTAGTCTTTCTTTCAGAATAGGAGTGTATCAGACAGCATCCTGATGAAGTTCTCTTCAAGCAAGGGGTGTTTCCTGTTAAAAGTCATTCCCAGCTATTGATTTCAGATCTCCAGCTCAGCTGAATTTGGCTGCAAGGAGTTTGCACAAACCATGACCAACAGCAGGAGGTGTTTGCTGAACTCGAACTGTGAAGTTTAATCTGCCCTATTGTGCTGGTACCTAAATATGTCTGGAGCTGCAGCTGGTTAAATGAAGAATCCAGCCTCACTTTGTGTATTACGAGCGGGACAGAACTTCACAATAGCTTTGTATAACCCCTTTGTGCAGATATCCAAGGGCTAAGGGGGCTGATTAGTCTCAAATACCGCTCAGAACAGACAGCCATTATAGAACACTGTCTTTCATAACATGCCAGCAGAAATCTCATGAGGATGGCCTTAGCTTAATTTGCAGCCAGATTTCCACCTACCATTTTACCCCAGGGATAAAAAGGAAAAGCTGTCATTCTGTACCTTCCCTCTCATGTAATCTGAGTCAGGGGGGGAACGTTAATTATGTGAAATTCTTTCTCCCTAGAGCACAAAACCTGCCACTGACCCTGACTAAGTAGGCACAAAGCCATGGAAACCAGGGGCAGTTCCACAAGGGTACAGAACTGTTTATGGAGCCAGATCACACACTGGGCCCAATGTTGCTTCGTGGGCAGTAGGTGGGGCTTTCGGCATTTGCGTGGGAGCTCCCCAGTGAGACCCGGAGGAGGACAAGGCTACAACTTTCTGGTTTTCATAACAGCATCTCCCTCCAGTAGGGTTGAGGCATGGGCGGAGTTTGAGGAAACTAAAATAAACACTGACACGCAGCATCTTGTGAGTATGTGCAGCCTCGGAAGGATAGACTGCAATAGCTAGAAGGGTAAGGACAGCTTAAAATGTAAGTATGTCAACTTTCTCTACTTTCTCAATATAATCAATGCCTTGTGGAATGGGATGTTTTCGCTACGCTTACTCACAGAATCAATGTAACCTTTGAGGATGCCTGTTATGCTCTCTGTCCCTTTGGCCTGTAGGTCAACAGCTGCAGAAAAAGCCTAGACACCCTGCAGCAATATTCAGATGAACAAATGGAAATCTCAAAGCTAAGCTTTCCTGTAGATCTAGACATTAATTCAACTGTAAATATTTGGAAGATTCTTCTCAGTTTGTCTTGCACCCCCAAAAGCATAGTTCTAGGTAATTCAAAAATATTTCGTACCAACAGTACTGGCCACAAAGTTACAAAAGACAGAGCTGTGAGGAATCTAACCAGAAGTTAAGAAAAGACGTGTCAGAGAGGGGTTAGAATTGGCAAGTACAGAGACATGCCAGCTTCTACAGCAGCTACAACAGCATGTGTTGAAATGGAGGAACATTTACTTCTCTGCTTTCTAACGCACTCAGGAAGCACGTGAAGAGGAAAAATGTGTTTTCTATCAAGCTGTAGCAAGGAGAAATGGAAATTGAAGTGGTAGCAGAGCAGCAGCATCTTTGCCTTTGGAATGGCAATGGATAAAATAAATTACTGTAGGAAGTTTCAGTATAATTGCTCACATTTGCTTCTAGTAAAATGACTGGATTCCTGCTTTGTTGATTTGTAACTACTACTGACAGAAAGTGTATTAGAGTACAGCTGTCCAGCATGGGACTGTGCAGCAATCCCTGGTGACCAGTCACTCCAGTAAAGGCTTCTGAAGATGCTGTATCTTCAGGCTGGGACAGGGAGGGGGACAGCACCTGCTTTGAGCTGCTGGCATCAATCTCCTGTTGAGTGGTTCTCTGATCTTCCATTGCTCTGTGGTGTCAACTGAAGGAGCTGCTAGAAAAAGCTCAACATGTGAGTGCTCTGTGCACTATTTTGTAACCGAAATCAGTGCTAGCAGGTTTTTTGGGTATTTTGTTTTTTTCTTTTCAGTAAGAGATTTTCAACCTCATAGATCCCAAAGAGAGAACTCCTTGTAGTCACCTCTAAACCAGGGTACAGAAGGGGGTTAATATTATTCAACAGTAGTCTATGTGTCATAAGAAAATAGAAACAGATAAGCAGTCAGGTAGCACAAAGCAGTTCTTGACTTTACAAATAGTCATTCAGAAACATGCTAAAGATGGACCTTCAAGATTTTACCACTGGAGGTGGGACATGCTATGAATTACATCAGTGTATATTTACTACTAAAATCCCATGAAAAAAGTAGAGCCACAAGTGACAGGGCAGTGGCTTCTTGTGCGGGCAGCTATAAACAATTGAGGCAGAGAAATGAGAAATAACCTCAGAGTTTGTTATCCAAGAATCGTGCAATTGAGTTATACTCTGATGTACTATGATCTAAGAATCAAGATAATTGCTGAATTAAGTACATGCTGTCTATGCAACGTGAAGTGCTAAGGACATCATAATGTAATAGAAAGCAGAGACTTTCTCAGGATGTAGGTTATGCACTACAATCTGCTCAGAATTGACAAAAATCAGAAATTAAGGCTCCGAAAATCTCAAGACTTAACCAGATACGATTATTTTGAGTGATTTTGATTACTTTCGCTTGCCTTATTTTGGGACAGTGAGAGTTTTCATGTTTTCAGCTTTTTCCTTCCATATGCAGGTTACCTAGGAAAGCAGCAACATTTTCATAAATAATCTCATCTATCTGCAGGACTCTGAGGCTAAAAGCCTTAAGAGAGGTATCAGTTATCATGAGATGCCAAATAAAATTATGGGCACAGTCAATACCAGAGTATCCATCATCACTAGTATCTTTTCATCTGGGAGCAAAGTGGTTGAACTTCTCAAGTCCCTTTTACTTACAGATTTCCACAAAACTGCCACTTGCAGAATCTCAACCTTCTGTTTGTACAGCCAGGAAATGCCTTCACTTCATGAAGAAGCAAAGGCAGCATACCCTGAAAGATGAACACTCTCCTGTAAGCCTAGAGGTAGTTTCCTGGTTCTGGTTCTCTGTTGGTTCCTTCAGGGCTAAAAGGATTTCAGCCCTTTTTGTTGAATCATTGGGGATATACAGTGGAATCCAGACCTTTCACAAATTCAGGGACAACTGAAACATTAGGCAGAAATTCCCTAGTGATTTCTTCTGCCCCATTTCTACCGTACTGATTGAAGAGAAGCCAATGAACTGTGTCTGCCTTTCAGCTCTGGCAAGATGATCAAATCCTTCAAGCAAACGTTTCTGTCCCTGGATCTGCAGTCCCCCCGGTGGAGCTCGGCAGAGACAATGGTAACTGCTAAAGGCCTGGGAAAGAGTTCTGCAATCAGGGTGCTGCAGAACTAACATGGATTTGGGATTCTCAGTCTGAAGAGCGTGGAGGAGCTGGGAAGTTACTATAGCCACTGTTCTCACCTGGTTGCAAAGGGGGAGAGGAAACATCTATTTGCAAGCTCTGAGGAGCTCAGCCTAAGGCAGAACAGCATGGTTTTGAGAGGGAGGCATCAAACAGTTTGACATTGGGGATGTGCCTAGAGTCTGCAGCAAAGAGGTTACCCAGTGCCACCTCATTGCAAGAGTATTTTCATGCTGATTTGGAAAAAGTAGCTATTAATTTATGTCATCTTTAATAGTCATCTCATGCTTACTGTGACTTTTGCTACCTTTCAGGCAAAGGATTATGAACTGCGTCAGTATGAGACGGCCAAGTGGGTCAGCACAGTCATTAGGGGAGAGACCCAGAAGGAGGCGATGCGCCAGGGCTTCTGGAAACTCTTCCACTACATCCAAGGGAAGAACGAGAAAGGTACAGTGTGCTGGCTTTGAACTGCAAGAAGCATAAGTAGGAGATGAAGATGAGTAATATAAAATAGTAGATGAGCTGCAGAGCACAACAGGTCCCCTTTCCCGGTCTAACACCCTTATGACTCCATCAGGCCATGACATCCACAAGGCTGCTGCTTTTAGGACAAGTCCACATCACCCTTCACAGCAGCATTCAGGCACTGTCTCTGCTCGCAGCTTAGACAACTGCTTTTCCTCTCCTCTAGAAACGAAGATTGAGATGACTGTGCCAGTGACGTGCCTGATAAAATCGGGCTGTGCCGACTTCAAGATCTCTTTCTTTGTGCCATTTGAACATCAGGACTCCCCCCCGCAGCCCACCGACTCGGATGTGTTTGTTGAAGAGCGGAAGGCTGCACCCATCTTTGTCCGGTAAGCAGCACCAGCACAGCTGCCAAACGAAGGCAGCTCCTGACAGGGGTTCATCTATTAAGAGTCTGGACTACTCTTTTCTTATATATCCTGCTGTTTAAGAGCCTTGACCGGCTAAACCTGAGCATCTGGAAATCTTTCCTGTGCTTGGGTATCTTACGGAGAACAAAGAGAAATGACCAATTTTTAAAACATTCATTTTTCAGTAGGCTCTTGAAAATTGACTTAGTGGGTTTGATGGAAATGCAGCCTACAGAATCCTCTTGGACACACTGTGCTACAGAACATCTAAATCATGCTTCTAACCCCCCTTATTTGCAGTCCCAAACTCCCACCAAACCTGCATGACAGTTCTTTACTACAAGAAAAGCACTCAAAGCTACACCTGCCCTCTCTGCAAGTATTAAGGCCACAGGTAACAATCTGTGACAGGCAGTACTCTCAGAATTGCAAGCAACTTAGTAGTTTGGGGTTTCTTTAACCCTACCTTTTAAAATAGCATTGTCCTAGTTTCAGCTAGCATAGAGCTCATTTTCTTCTTAGTAGCTAGAATAGTGCTGTGTTTGATTCAGTATGGGATTTGGTATAAGAATGTTGACAATTCACTGCTGGTGTTAGCTGCTGATAAGAAATCAGGGATTTTTCAACTTCTCCTGTCCTGCTAGCATTCAGGTGTGCACAGAAAGCTGGGAAGAAGGAGGGCCAGGACAGGTGGCCTGAACTGGCTATTCCATACCACAGAATTTCATGCTCAGTATATCAACCCAAGGGAGTTGGCCAGGAACAGGGAATCACTGCTCACACATCCATCAGTGGGGAGAGTGAGCCACTGTATCATGCATCACTACTTCTTCTTGGGTTTTAGGTCTCTGCTCTATTCCTTTTCATTACAATTATATTTATTATATTTATTAAATGTTCTTACCTAAACCCACAGGTTTTTACTTTTCTGATTCTCCTCCCCAGCAAACAGAGTGAGGAGGAATAAGCAAATGCCTGCCCAGTGTAGTTGCTGGCTGGGGTTAAACCACAAGCACGCATGGCCACGTGCTCCCCGACAGCTAGTTCTGCAGTTTACCTAATAACTACAAACCGCATCAGAAGTGCACAAACACTGCATGCTTTGCAATGCTGAAGTTTCCTTCTGTGAAAATAAAAAGCAAGGCTTGAAGTCTTAAAAAAAATCTCTCCCTTTTCACTTCTACCAGGTCCTTCGGTGGATTTGCCTCCCCAGAGAAATATGCTGAAGAAGCTGAAGCCTTGGCCAGAATCTTGAGAAACAGAGGCCAACCATTCCATGAAGACTTCTACTATACTGCAGGCTATGACAGTCCCTTCAAGCTCTTTAAGAGGCACAATGAAGTGTGGTACTTTAAAAAGTAATATGGGGCCAGGGGAAGTACTTAAGAGGCTACTAATCAGCTCTGGATGAACAGACCTTATTAATGGCTTTTGCTTTAGTGCAGAAGAGGTTTAATTTGCACAGGGACACAAGATCATGTCTAATTCATTTTATCTGGGACAAAATACTATTCTGGCTAAAAAGATTTCAGCCCTTTCTACAAGATGTAATTTGAATTCAAGTAGATTACACCAGCCCGAGGGGGAGGTAGACACAACAAACCTATTCCTCTTATTTCAAGATTGTAGAGGAAGACTAATAATCTGAAAATATTCCCACAGAAGAGCTTGAATGTCTAGTTTTACTTCTAATGAGAAGTGCTACAGCAATAGCTCAAGTGTTATGGAGAAAGTTCTTCATTGAGCTGACTCTTCCCATATTGATCACTCCTGAGACAAGATGGGGAAGTTAAATGAATTTCAGAGAAAAAAAACCCTACCACTGATGAGTTTTGGGAAGCAACAGTACCTTAGCAGGCCCTAGCAGCTCATAAGCAATAACTTTTTCAACAGTATTAAAAATCCCCCACCTCTCCACTCAACTATTACTTTTCCTCATGGAAGCCGGATCACATCTTGCTCCAGACTAATGCCAGTGACCAGATTAGACTGAGAGTCCAGTGGAAGAGCATTAGCAGCATGCTTATTCTGTGCACATCATCTGCACCTGAACCTGCAATACCAAATTTACTGGTAGCCTGCAATTTTATGAGCAAATACACACATAGCAGTGTTCAGCTCTCACCTACAACACACAAATTACTACAATTGTTCAGCTTTGTCCAAATCTTGGTATTGGTCAGGGTTGGCAGTTGTACCCACCCTGACAAACCATTCCACCACAGTATTTGCTCGTTCTGATGAAATATAAAAGCATCTGACTTTGATTTCTGGCAAGACATAAAAATATCTGCTAGTTTTGGCAAAGATCTGCTGACTCAGGTAACCATAACACCTGCAGATTTCAGTCACAATGAGGTTGCGCAACTGGCTATTGATACACCCACCTTTTGGTCAAAGGTCAACACTGGCCATATTTTCATCAGTTCAGATTTAACTATGGTATAAATGGGGTCCTGCCAGAGCACAAACCAAGTCCATCATCCTCAGAGGTTTGCAGTCAGGGACTCTTCCCCTTGGGTGGGGACGCTGCCCGAGTTAACTCCTTGAGGTCGAGAGCCCTCATCTTGATTGGTGAGTGAAATGCATTTTGGATTAGTTCCTTTCTAAAACTTAAGCTTAATTCAGCTGTATAGTATTTGGTTCCACTTGGCACCTGGAACCTGCAGTTTACTAATGTCAGAGTATTAAAGGATTTGTAGAGTAAATTTCCTTTAAAGTTATAACCTAAGTAAATGTTGCAAGCCCCCGCATTAAATTGGCATAGTAACTCAGCTGAAGGTTTTCCTTACCTTTTGTACCTATTAGGCACAAACCATTGACCAAATCTGGGACTAGGAATGCATTCAGCTGCACCTAGACTCCTCTGAGAAGATCACAAAACAAGGGGGTCCATTCTGAACCTCGTCACTCAATAGGAGGGTCTCTGACAGTTTTGCCTGACCCCATTCTCTATGCATGAAATATCAAGTGATCCTTGCCCTCAGGTCTCGCTAAACCACTGTCACATTTACTATCGAACTTTAAGTCACACTTAAGACACTTGCAGGACTAGTGTATCTAAATTAGTTTAGTCCCTGCTCTAAATCAAGCATTTAAAGCTTTTATGAAGTAGCCTAGAGCTGTTTTCCAGCCAGCTGTTCAAGTCAGAAAGCAGTTCACAACAACAGGTAGAGTTTACAAGTATTTATTGGTTCCAATCAGTACCAGGCAAACATTACCAGTGTGGTAAGAAAACCTTGGCTTTTGTAAGTGATGTTCATGCCAGTGTAACCCATTATTCTGCAATCTTCTACCTATTAAGACAGACATAAAAACCATTATAAGGCACCAAAACCAGCAGAAGCAGCTTGCTGGGAACAACTCAGACCTTAGATTTTCATCTCTGTTCAGAGAGAGAGTTCAGGATAAGGTTATCATCATTTGTTCCAGCAAATAAATTTAATTACTACAATTACACTCACCTTCTCAGTTCTTCATACAGTAGTTTCCAAGTTGCCTCCTCACCTAAAGCAAGAAAACACAATTAACATATGCAGCAGCACAGCTGCTGAAAGCTCCGCAGCAGCTTTGTAACCTCAGAGAAAAGTGGAACGGAAATTGTAATATCACAGTAATTCATTTGGCAGAATCAAGTTTCATCAGTGGCTACAAATATTCCCCGAAGTTTCTAACAATTAATTTGCTGTGTGGTCTTACCCAATGAGGTTGCAGACAGCAGTCCTCTCCTGAAAAAGAGAGGTTGTTTCAGAATAGACATCACTATTATGCAAGTTCAGTTTCTCCAGCTATGAAATTCTAGTCAAACTAATTTTACCTACAAGGAGGCCGCATTTCAGCTGGCGACTGACAAGAACTTCAACTAGCAACACCCAAATAGGATATACAAAGCTTACAAATACTAACTGAATTGAAAATACAGAGTTACTAACATTGGAAGAACAAGGGGAAAAGTACAAAGCTGCTACTTGCTTTGTGATGCTGAACCCACAACAGTTGTAGTCTGTGAGTTTTGATACCTTAAATCCAAATCCCACAGAAATCACCTTGAAAACCTATCCTTGAAAGCGAGAACCAGTCCGAGGACTACAGCAATCATCTAGAACTTGATCCTAAATTTGTGTACAGCCAACATAACCAAGATTAGCAAAAATTACCGAGTAGCAATCACCACAAAGAGGGTTGGTGTTTTGTCTTTTCTTCTTAAACTTTAACTGTGCAGTACAGTGTCAGTTCACAGACTAGCCAGATAGATCAGATAGAAGTTATGATAATGTTTGCTGCTGTGCAGTCTGATGTACATTATCAACACTGTTTTGGCTGTCTCCACCAATTCAGCTCCTTTACTATTTCCACCGTGTGAAGACATCCAGCAGAAACCCCCAGCTTTTAGTCATTGAGGCCACATCTTCTGTTCACACAAACAGAACTCTACACAGTTTACATAAGCTTCAAGTTTACCATTGACTATAGTTAAGGAATTGCCAAGGTTTCTGCTCAGAAAAAGCCCTTCCTTTTCAAGTCAGGTTCAGAATTACATTCTTGCTTCAAGCACATCATGTTTATTCCCCAGGAGCCAAGAAAAATCAGAATACAATAAAAGGAGACAAATTAGATCTATTATAGGACTAATTTTAGGCACCACTAGGCTAGGCATTTAGCACAAAGACAATATTTCAGTAATTATCAAACCCCATGTACTCTACACTTACCTCAGACATAAGTTATTCTTGTTTCTCACACAAACTCCCCACAAGCTTCACTCTGCAACAAGTGAAATTTTATTAGCACACTCTCCTTGGCAGTGCTTCAAGAGTCAGTTTGAATGTGGGTACTGTTTCAGTGCAAGAGTCCTCCTCAGCCTCTTTCAGAGAGATTCCCATTGCTTAGAATTAATCATCACAAACAGTACATGCTTAGAGACACTTAATGTTCTGTTACTTTTGCTTCTCCTTAGAAGAGGAGCTGACCTCAGCATTTCAGACCTTACCCCCAACCACATCTTTATTCACATCATGTGAAAGCTCTAATCTAGCCATTGAGACAAAGAGTTTACCCCATTACTTCAACTACTGAAGGCTAATGCTACGCTTCCAGCAAAATCCCACTACTTAATTTAACCAGCAAAAAGTTAAAATAGCAAGTAATTGTACTGACTTTGGTCAGCACAAGTTCTGCACTGCCAGGTTACCGCATGTTCTTTCTTATAGACTAGAGATGCAATTAAGCCCATAGCAGTTACATATTTCAACTGGCCCATACTATTTCTTTTCAATTACAGAAAGCAGGCAACATTTTCTAGTACACCTATCATGCAGCTGTGACCTCTCATATGTATTTGCTGGCAACTTACTTGTGCTGGCAGCAGCTACCAACCAAACCACTTCACAGCTGTACCGCACCTGGAACAAAGAAAAGTATCAGGACAGCAGACAAGCAGGCACACAAGGATGAAACCCTGTCAGGTGCCTGAAGTCAGATAGAGCTAATTGCAGACCTCCATTACTGAAGTCAAGGTAGTCACATCTCATCACACAGGCAGCTCACCTTGTCAGTGACTGACAGCTATCTGCTTTAGGCTACAGCTGCTACAGGGAAAAGGGTAAATACACCAAGAGTGCTGATCAGAGGCAACCTCTCGAGCTCCCAGGCACACAGTGAAGAGCACAGCACAAACCAGCCTGTCAAGGCTGAGCCTTGCCCAGTGGTTTTCCCCTTAAGCACCCTCCTGTTTTGGCTGAGATGCAAGCAGCAGCAAACACTGGCCCCTTTCACCTCCCCCCCAGCTTAACTTCAGTTAAATGCTTCACTTCTAGGCATATTTTTTTATGCTAATACTTGGAAAGTTAAAACAAGTACTTACGTTGCAATGAGAAACTTTGGAATCCTGCAAAGGAAAAACTGCTATTAGGTAGGGTCCAGCAGAAAGTTTTAGCACAAGATCAGTTCCAGTGAAATACTGTATCAGCGTTTAGTCAAGTTTTATCCTCATTGGGATCAGAGACCTGATTCAACATCATCTACAGTAGACTGCAGCACTTCCATCCCCTTCCACAAGGTGGGCCTAAAGCCATCTCCCAGCACTCTCAACACCCTTGAGGTGGCAATTCCTCAACTCCATTGACTGTTGGAATTGCAGAAAGGAGCAAACCTCTGAACTGCAGAGATTTCTGTCCCTATCTCCCAGGGCAGGGGAGGGAGAGCAAGCAGCTGCATGGCCTTTGGCTGCCAGCCAGCTTTAAACCACAACAGCCACATAACAATTACTTAATGCTTTTACTGTGATGCATAAGGGATCTGAAGGCACATTTAGGGCTACTAGTATTTTTGCTTCAGATTTTCCAGAAACTAAATGGATTTGCAGACCCTCTTATCTCCAAAAGCAAACTCTGAAGCTCAAATGCAGCACAGCCAAATATTTTTTAATTACCTTCAATTAGGAAGGCCTCATCTTCAGCATCATCATCAAGAGGTGAAATAGCTTGTGACACACTAGAGGCACAGGTATCTTCTGCCCAGGGCAGCCTGCAAAGCAACAAAACAGTTACAGAACCTGGCCCACTAACACCAGATTTTGTGTTACCGGCACGATTTTACATTACTGAAATAGCAAATTTGTTCTGCATTTGTGCTTAATTTCGCAAGCACAGCCTACTATCTTATCCTTCTGTTCATTCTACTGCATTTTGAATGTTTAGCTCATTTACTGATCTTCTGAGACATTTTCAAAATTCATTTATGGAGCAGTGTTTCACCCTCAGCTTTGCACATGACTTGTCTAACAGCCTAAGGTAGAGGAGGCTGCATCAGATAGGAGCGAAAGACAGTAACAGCGTGATCACCATGGGTCATCTGCTGAACTATGCTGTCATCACACACAGCCTTTGACACCGGAGTTATAGTTTTTACAGACACAGGCAATCTAATGTTTACCTTGCACAGCTTACAGCTTCATCCTCCAGTGCCTGCAACAAAACAAAACAAAAAAAAAAAATCAGATTCCTTCACCCTTCGTGGCCAAGCCTACACCTCCTAGCAAGAGATCACAAGAGCTAGATACATCAGATAGGAGCGAAAGACAAAACGGCTCGTCACAGGATATTCTGCTGAACTATGCCATCATCACTGTATCTGCTTGGCAGTAATAGTACTAAACAATCGCCTGTTGTGACAGCTTTGAAAAATTTAACTTATCCAACTAAAACAAATAAATATTCAGGAGTATCTGAATACTAGCAAGTATCAAGTTGTTTCTGCCTATGAGGGGAAATTAATCCTGAAGTATTTCCCCCATTTTACACATCCCAGCCATCCCACTGTAGTGTCTCAGCAGCTCCATGGAAGACACCCCTACACAGACTACACATTTCTCACCAGGTGATGTTTCTTCTCCAAGTCTTCCAAGGGCACAATGCAAATCCTGAAAGAATTAAAAAAAAGCTTATGAACAGTATATTCGGAAGTCAAATCATCACAGGGAATTCTGAATCACTGTGCCTCAGAGGAATGTTATGGTGGTAGAAGTGCTCATCACTCTCTTGAGTCAAGAGTAGCAAATAAGTGTCATCATTGTGGCACCAGAGGGAAAGCTTTGCTCTGGGAATGAAGTCTGCCTACTGGTGTTATCAGATTAAAAGATACCATCTAGATAAAAACTAAGCACCATTTTATCTTGAATTTTCAAGTAGTATTTTTTTACCTTGTGAAGTAGCATCAAGTCTCTGTATTTGGTGGCAGACCTGGAAGAGACACAAGTTTCAGACGCTTGTAGAACTATGGGGAACATGTCTGGCAGTGACTAAGCACAGAAAAAAGCCTCAGCAAAGAGTTTTCAGAAATCACTTCTGTCCACTACTCTTATACCGAAACCATCATAGGCTCTCTGATTTAGTTAACATCAAACATAACCTGATAGGATTTTTTTTTTTTTTGAAACGTGCATCAGGAGCTTTTATCTGAACAACAAACTATTTATTGCTGTGGATGGTAAAGCAGCAGTAATGAAGGAAAAAAGGCATCTAGGGTACTACTGCTAGTCTGGTTACAGGACGAACGAGTGGTACAGAAACACGGAGCCTCACATCTACTTTCCAGTAGAAAGAAACAGGTGACTTTTCCCAGGAGGAGAGTGAGGGCTGTCCAAAGGACACACCACAGGCCATTAGTGGATTACAAACACTGGTTCTATAATTTCTTAAGGTACAAGAGTACCCCAGGACAGTCGCTCTAAGTGTACTTACACATTATTTCTCACCTGTTTTGCAGCCAGAATAGGGAAGAGTGTAGTTGATGCATCTTAAACTGAAAACAAGAAAGTATTCGTTAGCTTGCTTTCTTCTAAGAATGAAGATGTTCACACATACTCTTTGAAAAATTCAAGTAAAATTCAAGACTAAAGCTCTCCCCTGATGCAATGTACACTTCAGCTCTTCGAACAGAGAAGGCCACAAAAATAATTGCCAGCCTGTATTTTTACGCAGGACAGGACCACTAAACTTCCTCATTTTCTACAGCTTCAATTCCAGTGTATAAGCACCAGGTGAATCCTGCAGCAATTCACTTCGCTTGGCTGCTCAAGGAGCAGCCTGGTGTTTCATCTGTACACTACTCCATGCCCAGCTCAGATATGTTGGTATTCATCACCCTCTCAGATGTCCCTACCAACATAGTTTTCATCATGTGCAGGCACGTGGAAGCCTAAGCGAGCCATCACACTATTTTGTTAAGACGGGGCCTTTGCTCTGAGCACTCGCTGTCTACTCCTTCACCAATAAGCTAGGGGAGAGCTTCCTCCTTCCCCACCACGAAAGGGCTCTCCCCAGCCTGGCATCTGCTTTCAAGCATTAATACAGAGGAGCGAGCAACCCTTAACCCTATCTCAACACCACTATCACGTTCTGCACAACACTTCCCATTTATGGGTCCAAGCCAGCTCCTTAAAGCCCAATACCAAGAAAAAAAAAAAAAATAAAGGAAACCTAACGCTTCTCCCTGCAGCAGGCGCATGCCGCCTCGCCACCTCCCAGGATCATTTCCCACGGGAAAAGGGCTCCCGGGCGAGACCCCGCAGAGCAAACAGCGCCCTACTCCTCCCCGGGCACCCCCGAGCTGTCACCCCACCAAAGCCGAGCCCAGGCCGCCGGCACGCAGGCCCCCCCCGACCCTCCCCATCCCCCAGCGCCGCGGGGGGACGGGCCTCAAGGCTGAACCCCGCCACCTCCGAGGGGCCTGCGCTGGCCGCTTCCTTCCCGCAGCCAGCGTGGGGGCTCCACAGGCCTTCCTCTCCCACACGACTCGCGCGTGGGGTCTCCCCTACCCCGCTCCAGGGCCACCGCGAGGCGGAGTCCCCTCAGAAGGCCGCAGCGGCCTAGGCCGCAGGCCGGGCCCCGGCGACACAATCCGCCTCCATCCTCCCCAGCCAGCGCCCATCGGGGGCCGAACCCCACTCGCGGCGGCTCCACTCCGCCCCTCCGCAGCCGCATGGGGCCACATCGGGAGCGGAAAACCTCCCCACTCACTTACCCACCCGCGTGGAGGGCGCCGCTCGAGCGCCCCTCAACCGCCACCGCGGGCCGAAAAGACCGACACGGGGCCTGCGCGCCCGCTATATACGACCGGCGGCGGTCACGTGGGCTCGGCGCGGCCCCGCCCACCCCGGCGGCGCGCCGGGGCGTGTCGAGGTGGGCGTGGCCACGGGGCGTAGGGAGGGGCGTGGCCGGGGGAGCGATGCGCGCCGCGGCCTCACGGGCGGGAATTTTCTTCCGGGGTGCGGCCCGCTCGGGGGGTTTCGCTTCCGGGACGGCGCTGCGGGCCCTTCCCACCCCCCGGCAGGTAGGTACCGGCGCGGCGCGGGCCCGGCGGGCCGGGCGGGGCGGGGCCGGGCGGGGCGGGGCGGGGCCTCGGTTCCCGCCCCACCCGTGAGGTGCCGTCACGCCCGCGGGGGCCGGCGCAGGGGGCCGGGGGTGCGCGACCGCGCCCCGCCGCCCCTTCTCCACCCCTCAGGGGGACCGTCGGCCCCGGTACCCCCCCCCGCCTCCCCGGACACCCCCTCGCCCCCGGCACCCCCACGGGCGGGGCGGCGTGGGGTTGATTTCGCCGGCGGGGTGAGGGGAAGGTGGGTTTGGGTCCGCCCTCGCCCCGCACCCCCGGGTCCGGGTCGTCAGGCGCCTCTCCCCAAGCTGTCAGGGCTAAAAATTAACCGTCATCGCCTCAGGGGGGGAGCGGCAGGCCTGGGGTCGTCGCTTGTCGGCGATTTAGTGGGGGAAAAACCACCCCCCCCAAACCGCTCGGTTTGCTCTTTCAGCTGAGGCGGGGAAGGGTGAGGAAGGCGGTGTCTCCCATCTCAATCCAGGCTTACTCTCGTTTTTACCTTTATTCAGGTCCCATCATATTTTGAAAGTAGTCAGGTTAGCCAGCCGTGGTGAACCTCAGCCCCGATAGCCGAGACTTTTCAGTCCCACCTCCCCGAAACAGCTCGCCAGCTTGACAGTTTTCTGACAAAGGATACACTCAGAGCTAGCATCGTCCGCTGCAAGATGGTCTGTCCCAGCTTTTTACAAGGGCCTGACGGATGGGAAATTTCCCCAGGTCTCGGTATTTGCGCTGGCCTCGCAGGGGGAAGGCGTTTTCAGGGATAAGTCAGTCCGAGTCTCGGCCGGGGACACTTTAAGTTGTCTTAAAAACAGCTAAGTGTCTCAGGACGTTCTCTGTGAAGAGCACTGCTCCGCGGGAAACCCCCCTCATCCTGCGGGTAAGGGCTGAGACGATGAATTTGCAGTCCGCCGCCAGAAAAGACAAAAATTGAGATGTCATTTAGCCGCCGGCTGAGCTGCACCAGTTTACTCCAGACCCCTCACCCGGGAGGACAGAAATCATCTGGAGACAAGGGCAGTTTGAACCGAAAAGAGAGTCCCCCTCGCCAGCCTCTGTCTGAGGTTGTCCCCAGAGCGTATCGTAAAATGCTGCTCCCTCGATTCTGAGGTAAATGAAGCTCCATGGGTCCTTTTCCTGCTGTCAGCAGCACACGGATTTTTCCCTGCCTTGGGAGCAGAAGGTCGCAAATAGTTTTTGGGTCTCCCCTGGGGGCAGCTGACAGTTAGGATCGGATTATTATTTTTTTTCCCTCCTCTTTCTGTATATCCTGAGCTGATCCCCTGAGAAACGGACGGTCGGCCTCTGCCCCAGGCTCCCCCCCCTGCACCAGCCTACCTGGGGGCTGGCTGCCTCAGCCGCTGTGTTTCACTCCTGCCTTCCCTCTGCTTGCCTGCCTTAAGAGGATGCTTTGGGGTTTATGGCTTTGGAAGCTGCTGGGTTGGGAAGATGATGAGATTACGGGCTCCCCAGTCCTGTAAACATTTGCACATGCTTGGTGTGATTTTGGCTGCGTGAGTGTTCCTGATGGTGTGAGTGAGACTGCTCATTTGAGGAAAAACCTGCCTGTGTTTAAACCGTGCAGGGTTAGTGCCAGAGATGCCAACCCCTTAAGAGAGGAAATGACTTGTTCAGGTTACTTGCGCTTCCATTTTTTATTTTAATGATCATCCCTATGACACAAACACTGCTCAGACAGCTGGGGGAAGATCAATTTGATAAGATTCAGTGTTTCTCTGTGGTTTGGGGTGGGACGTGGTGTAATGGTTAGCTAATCCTGCTGCTGTATCCGCCAGCAAAACAAAGAACGACGAAGCTTGACGTTCTTGATTGTGCTCAGGAGAACCCAATTCCTCCATGCTGCATTTTTTCTTTTTCTTTTCTCCTTCTAAAGGGGAAGGGGGTGAAAAGCTTCAGACCTTACTACATCAGAAGAAAAAAGGAAAACAACAAGACACCACCCCCATTTCCTCCCCTTTGTATGTCACTCGTAACATTGCAGGTAAGATGTCGGATTTTCTGTTTCCCCTCATTTTGTGTGTTTGAAGTTCTGTTCTTAACACTGCGTAACTTAACCTGAGCGCTATAGTTCCTTGATTTTGGTGGGTTTTACTGCTTTCTTCTAAAAGCAGGGGAAGGGGAGAAGAAGCCTGAAGACGTGGCACTGTTTAAGCTGCACCTTGTGAAATTTTGTGCACCCCTGATCTCACCTGCCCCGGAGACACGCAGCCGTCCGGCCATTTAGTAATCCCTTTGCACGACTTCACAAGATTGACAGGCTGTCCTGCAGCTTCAGGTTTAGTAACATATTTTGCCAAGTTTGCACAAAGTCCGCTTGGGCATATGAACCTGCAGCGTTCGTAAATTGAAAAAAAAAAAAAAAAGTCCTTCAAAAGCACACGTGCTTTCCTGTGTGCTAGTCCTTTCGATTCTGAGATTTCTCAGAGTAAGCACTATGAGCCTCAGTGTTCCCGGCCCGCCTGAAATTGTTTGGATTTCTGCAGCACTCTGCTTAATTGACGCTTCAGATGCCATCCAGCTTGGAAGCTGTTCGTGCCACGGGTGGTGGTCTTTAATAAATTTATTACTTCTCCTTTTTTTTTTTTTTTTTTTTTCTTTTTGGGCGAGTTTACGTCTAATTTTGGATCGTTCTGAATTTTTACCATATATGGTCAGGGCTCCTTTTCAAACTTTGCCAAAATGAAATGTGATGATTATAGAAAAATGAATTATGGAAGGGAAACTAGGAGAGCTAGTTTGTTAATCCCCATTGTTCGCAAGTTGTCTGTTGCTGTTTGCAGTATCTCAAACTACACACACTCCACCTTCTTTTGCCAGGGAGTCGCTTGTGCCCGGCGGATGGTCCGATAAGTTGGGGTTTAGAACTGAATTCTGTTCTTTTTCTTTCACCGTGCTCTTATATATTTTCTGCCATGTCTCAGAAACGCCACCTATGATGAATATCTTGGTTGTAACGATGTACTTAAGATGCCTTGAGGTCAAACTGTGTGCCGGTCAGCATTTGAAAAAGTCTCTCAGGAGGATTTAGGTCCCGGTGTCTCCTTCCTGATTCCTGCTCTACAAAGGAGGGATAACAATATTACTTTCCCTTTTCACAGTGCTTAGAAGGTACAAGGGCTAAGTATTTTAATCCATTACGCAATCAGTTACCTATTTTTAGTACCTGAACCATTTTTAATGCTCTTTTTACAATGCAAATGTGCTTTTATTGAGGCTGACAGAATGAAGCGTTTCGAGCACTTAAGCCACAGGGATCTATCGGGGTCTGGTTTAACGTAGTTCTTGTGAAAGGTGGTGTACAGCACATAAAGATCGGCGAACTGCTGCGAGGCGCTTGTAGATTAAACGGTGAGAGAGTTCTCTAAAAATCCTGGTATTTCAAACTGCATGAAAGTAGGTGAAAAATGTTTTAAATGCAAATGATAGACTAGCTCTGCTAACGATGGCGTTTTTGTTCCCCGCTTTCCAGTAGGGTCGTGCACCTGCAACTGGGACAGCCATGGAGAAGGGTGGGAACATTCAGCTGGAGATTCCTGACTTCAGTAACTCTGTCCTGAGCCACCTGAATCAGCTACGCATGCAGGGTCGCCTGTGTGACATCGTGGTCAACGTGCAGGGGCAAGCTTTCCGCGCTCACAAGGTGGTCCTGGCTGCCAGCTCGCCCTACTTCCGCGACCACATGTCCCTTGAACGAAATGAGCACCGTTTCCATTTCTGTCATCAAGAACCCTTCTGTTTTCGAGCAGCTCCTTTCCTTTTGTTACACCGGTAGGATATGCCTGCAGCTGGCTGACATCATCAGTTACCTAACGGCCGCCAGTTTCTTGCAGATGCAGCACATCATAGACAAGTGCACGCAGATTCTTGAGGGAATCCATTTCAAAATTAACGTGGCAGAGGTGGAAGCGGAATTGAGCCAGACCAGGACAAAGCATCAGGAGAGACCGCCGGAGTCTCACCGGGTGACGCCAAACCTAAACCGTTCTCTGAGCCCACGTCACAACACCCTGAAGGGCAGTCGCCTGGGCCAGGTCAGCACGGTGCTGGACATCCGGGAGCTCAGCCCGCCCGAGGAGTCCACCAGCCCCCAGATCATCGAGCAGAGTTCGGACGTGGAAAGCAGGGAGCCCATACTACGGATTAACCGAGCAGGACAGTGGTACGTCGAGACGGGAATGGGCGACCGCGGGGGACGGAACGACGACGACGTCCGGGTGCTGGGAGGAGTGCACATTAAAACGGAGAACCTGGAGGAGTGGCTGGGGGCAGAGCATCAGCCGTCGGGAGAAGACGGGAGCAGCGCCGAGGAGGTCACTGCTATGGTGATCGACACCACGGGCCACGGATCGATGGGCCAAGAGGCTTACGCGTTAGGGTCCTCCGGGGCCAAAGTGGTCAGGCCAACCAGCAGTGAGATTGACAGGTGAGTTTTAACTTAATTACCGACCTCGGCTGTAAGAGGAGATTGTGCAAGATTTTCACTTGACTGGGTTGGTCGCTTTGGAATGTTTCCCCCCTTCTGTTTCCTGGGGCCATCCTAAGCGCAGGCGCTGGAGGAATTTTTTTTCCTGGTGTTAGGAAGTGAATCCTGTTTGGGTTAGAGTATTTTGGCTGGGTAGCGATCAGCCCAGGATCTCCGGGTACAGGCTACCTCGGGAAATCAATTGTTAGCACTTAGAGGTGCATGGGTTGGAGGCTCTACCTCTTGGTGTTTCAACTGAGGTGGGATTTCTGTCTAAAGAAGATGTTCAGTTCAGCCTCAGCAGATACCGGGCTCGGCATCAGAATGAAGCAGGTCACATACCATATGTGTTACGCAAAGTGTCACTGCAGCGATGCCTTCTGGCCTGAAAATCTGGGGGTAGTTCTGCCTGAGAAACAAGCCGGTCGCCAGCTGTAGGTCAAGAGGAAATTTTCTTCCCCGTGGTCCGGGACAGCGGAGGGTCGTGAGTTTACATCTTCTGAAGCAGTTGAAGTGGGGAGCCCATCAGCCTCCGCTGTTGTTTTGATTTATTTGAAAGAGCAGAAAGCCTTTATTGAAAATAGGCTGGTGGAATCTGCTGCGTTTTGATTCTCCATCCATCTGCTTCCCCTCCACTCCAGCACTTGTTTTGTCACCCTTAGCTCAGACCAAAGAACGGATCTGATAAAGGGCAGATCTGTTGTGGTTTTAGGGGGGGGGGGGTGGGGGGGGTGGAAGGGGGTTGTATTTGTGGGGTTTCCCTTGACATGTGCCCCTCCTCTAGCTCAATCCCTCTGGTCCCATGGGGGAACAGCTACGTGGAAGCAGTGGATATTCTGTCACTTGTCACTTAATAAATCAGTCAGTGGGAATGATCTTGAGCTGGCCCTTGGGAGAGCGATCCTTTCCTGGTTCCCTAACTCTTTTCCACGGATCAGCTAGCCTTGATCATCTCTTTTTGCACTGCGCTCAATACCCTGTGTTTCCCACCTGGAGTCCATCACATCACTTTTGTTTCACCCTTGAAAAGGAGAGGGGGGCGAGGGTGGTGAATGAGAGGTGCCCGTAGAGAAATGGTTTGTTCTCCTGTGGTACAGTTCCCGAGTCACTGGGCCTATGTCGGTTGACTTGCGACAGCAACCAAAAAGCTCTCTGTCACTGAACTGGAAGGCAAATGACTCGGTTTTATTTTTCAGATGTTAAGACTGAAACCACAGACCAGTATGACTTGGTTTTTCCTTTATACTTGCGCTGTTCCGCCTCCTGTGTGTTAGCTGGTGAGGATGAAGAGATGCTACGCAGGTGCCTCTATTGCTCACCTGTTGTTCTAAACACCGTAGTGACCTGATCCCCATTAAAAACTCCGTTTACACTCTTCCCCCACCCCACAGATTTAGCCCTTCTGGCAGCATGGTTGCTGTGACTGAGCGGTACAGATCAAAAAGCGAGTCTCCCGGGCGGATGGATGAGCCCAAGCAGCCCAGTTCCCAGGTAGGCAGATCAAGAAGTTTGCAAGTAAATGTTGGCATTGAAGGTGAAGGGGACTGTGTTGTGATGAAGTGTGTAATATTTTCTATTTGCAAGCAATACTGTGTGCGAAACAAGGACCTTTTACTGTTGCAAGGGGTGTAGTTGCTGACGCTGAGAACGTATGCCATCAGTATATGATTTAAAACTGATTTGGGGATTTCGGCCAGATACCTGGAAAACACAAGGAGTTTCTCTTGTTGTCTGAGGGCATAAATATCAACCATCGCTCTGGGCAGGCCACCAACTCCTGAGGAGAAACCTCCAGAGTTGGATCTGCCCTAAAACATTGGCAGCAGATGCCTGAGCTGAGGGAGGAGGTGTTAGCTGGCATCTGTGGGAGACTGAGGGGTGACAACAGCTGAACCTTTCCATGCTAGTGCCAAAAACCATTCCAAAAAGCCCTCTAGGGACTACACCAGTAAACCTTAAGGGTGGAGTGTCAAAGGGCTGTGGATTTGGACAGAGGTCTGTCTCGTCCCCCAAGGGACTGTGTTGCATAGCGGAATTGGCAACGTGAAGTAGCTCTGAATTTGCTTTCTTGGGGTACGAGCACAATTTTGGGGCAGGAGGGTGAGATGCGCAGAAATGCAGGAGGGCAACGGGTCGTAGGGTGCAGCAGAGTGGGACACGGTGGTAATACCTGTGCCTAATCATGTTGATCTAATTTTTTTATTGCATGCAGTCAGTATCGCAGTGCCACTGTAGTGCGAGTGTGTCCCCCGACACTGTGTAGAACGACCGTTGTGTGCCTGGCAGATACGCAGTGTGTCAGTTCATAATCAAATGACTTTGCTGGAGGCAGGTGAGGAGTTACCAGGCTGCTTTGCCCTTGAGTAAGACCAAGTGAAGCAAGGGGGAAAAAAAAAAAACCATGATTGCTGTCTGCTAACTTTGTCATACCCTTCCATAACACAAAAGATGCCTCTTGGTTCCTATTTTGCCGAAACTTTGGTTTGTGTCCTCAGAATACATCTAGAAAATTTCAGGTCAAACTAACCCTCCAGGGTAAATGTGACGTACAAAGCAATTTTAGCTCTACGCGCAGAAGAGCCGCTCTGATTTCCACATTGTGAGGTGGCCTCAAATGTAAAACCCTAGGCTACCACGCAGACTGGGGAAGTATCGTCACCTCCCACTCTTCTGGTATTGCCGTATCGATGCTAAAAATACTCTGCCCGTGATCCCTGCCCAGTGGCAGGGGTAGAGTGGAAAGAAAGTACCAGAGCTTTGTGCATCTCCCGAGCAGCTTACCCAGTGCTTGTCCAGCCGGATTGAGCAGCGCCTGGCCCAGTTACGCCGCTGCTCGCGCAGCCCTGGGTGCCAGAGGAGGGGCCCTCCTGCTCTTTTTCCACCTTTTGCTCGTCCGCGTTTGGCATCGGCGGGAAACTCTGTAAAGCTTGGGAGCGCAAATCCTGCGTCCTCCAGCACGGGGGCTTTCAGGAGACGGCCTGTTGGCGCTCGTTCTGAGTACGACAGCCAGAAATGTCTGTCCTAGAGCCCGAGCTTGGGGTTCAGGGTGACCCTTGGCTCTTTGTCTTTCTGGCTTCGGAAAATAACGAGGAGCCAGCTAGTCCTGGCTGTGTGACTCGGGCCGGGCGCGCTAGCTCTCTGTGCTGCAGATCCTCCCCTGCAACGCTGCGGGGCTGGGATGGGTTACACAGCCATTTAGGCAAATGTGATCTGTTATAAAATGAATCCTGAATGACACCTGCATAAATACCTGTGTAAAATGACACCTGAAGAGTTTCAGATCTGTAGTTTATTCCACCTTCGTATTACCGCAAGCTCATCAATTGGCTTTTTTTTTTTTTTTTGAAACCTTTAGTAAGTAAAGCAGAATGTGGTAATACGGTATTTTAATCAAATTGGCCCAGGTTTTAAAAAAAAAAAGTAGCGTGTATTGACACGTCTGATCCAGCACTGAAATCGGTGGTACAGTGTCCTCCTGACAAGGGCTGTCTGTTCCTCCCCGGATCTGGCGAATGACTTGGCAGAAGGGGCTGCCATAGCGCAGGTTTCTAATTGATTGCTCATTTGTCTTCAGCCCCAAGGCTCCAGTTAAGCGCTTAAATGTGTGCTTGAGGTTGAAGACATTAATGCTGCTGATTTCGAGGTTTGGCACGTGCTTCCGTGCTGTACTGGCTGGACTGGGGCCCGATCTTCTTTCCTGCAGTTGGTTTTCAGCTGCTCGTTACTGAAATCTCCGTCGCTTCCTTCGCAGGGGGAGGAATCGGCCCTGCTCGGAGTGAGCGGTTACGTGGAGTATCTCCGGGAGCAAGAGGTTTCAGAGCGCTGGTTCCGGTACAACCCCCGGCTCACTTGTATTTACTGCGCCAAATCCTTCAACCAGAAGGGCAGCCTGGACCGTCACATGCGTCTCCACATGGGCATCACGCCTTTTGTCTGCCGCATGTGTGGGAAGAAGTACACCCGCAAGGATCAGCTGGAGTATCACATCCGCAAGCACACGGGCAACAAGCCTTTTCATTGCCACGTCTGCGGCAAAAGCTTCCCCTTCCAGGCCATCCTCAACCAGCACTTTCGCAAGAACCACCCCGGCTGTATGCCTCTGGAGGGGCCTCACAGCATCTCCCCCGAGACCACCGTCACGTCTCGGGGGCAGGCGGAGGAGGAATCTCCTCCGCAGGAGGAGGCCGTGGCTGTGGGGGAGACGGCACAGGGATCTGTGTCCACGACTGGGCCAGATTGAGGCACGGCTGCAGAGTCTGGGGAGAAAGGACCGTCTTCCCGTTTGCGGCTCTGAAGAGTCAGCACCAACCTGGCAGGCTGGTACTGTAATTAGTGCAATGCCACCACTGGACAGAAAGAAGCTCCCGAGATGTTGCCAAAATAAGAAATATCTTTCTCTCTCTCTCTTCCTCTCACACACCCCCACACACACACACGTAGAGTTTTTCTCCCTTACTCCTCCTCCTCTTGGAGAAAAACAACACAACTGTGTCAATCAACTTCTTATTCAGGGATCAACAGGATTTTAAATTTTTTTTAATGTTCCGTAGTGATCTGGGACGAGCAGTCCTTTGTATTTCCGGGCGGCGTTCCGGCCCAGCAGCTAGGTCCCGCCGGCCGCAGCCGCGGCTCCAGCGCGCGGGGAGAGCGGGGTCGAGGGGCCGTTGCCTTCCCCCCTTCCCCAGGTAGCCGACACGTTCAAGAAAACAAAAAGACTGTCCCGGTGGAACCTGCCTTGCCCCGAGTGTATTTATCCCTGTCTTATTTTTGCTGTGTCTCTTTCTACCTTTTTACTTCCACTATTATTTTAGGGCTTTTGGCTTGCCCGTTCCAGGCGTGCGGCCTCAAGGCCCCGCGTTCGAAGCGGGCGCCGGCTAGCAGGCGGTGTTCTAGAGGTCAGCGACGTTGGAAGCGCTTCGGCTACCGCGGGCGGGGGTTCGCAGCGGGGGAGGTTGGCCTTCGCCTCCCGTGCGCTGGGAGAAGGGGCGGAGGGGGGGGTCTCGCGTTTGAGGCGGGCCTTTGCCGTCGCTCATCTGGAGAGTTCAGAGCACTCCGACATCGCCGCCGGCGCGCCGCCGCGCTTCGGGTGTCGCCGAGCGTTAGGAGCTGAGCTTTGACGGACTGGCCGAATTGCGGAGTTAGAGGCTGGCTACCAAAGTCGTCCTGCACCCCCTGCTCCCCCCTCGACACGCACTTGATCTTTTATAACAGCAATATGGTGTACTGAAATGCTATCGTCCCAGCCGAGCAATCGTGGGTGGTTGCTTTTAAACGTGTTTCTACAAGCTAGTTTGATAACTTTTTTATCAATGAAATGCAAAAAGAAAAGAAAACCCTACTTTATTCCCTCGTAACGGTTCAGGAAACTGAAAAGTGAATGGTTCCTAGAGCAATCACAACTCTGTCCCCTTGCATGGACTTAAACTTTTGTATTCTAAGCAGCTCTGATGTTTAGAGCAAGTTAAGCAAACCCAGAGAGACATGCCTGCGTTGTGTATTGTAGGTGTTTGCACGTGCTTACGTGTTTCATAAACGGAAAAGCATGGGACAGGAAGATAAGTGCAAATATCTTGACATCTTTTGAAGAAGTCTTTTTAAAAAATATGCAATACTTTAATAAGAGTTTTCTCTGGTTCTGATGCCGAGTTGTTCATGACGGAGGGGGAAAATGAACGACAGGTTGCACAGATGGGGTTTGGGAGAGGACGTTTGGTTGAAGGAGTTCTCCTGAGGGTGTATAACGTGCGCGATAAGGAAGGATGAAGTTCTGATCCTCAAGGCGATGGGAGGAACAAGGAGACAGTCGAGAAAGAAATACGCTTCGTCTTGCTTTGGCAAAGCAAGCCGGGCGAGCGGTTCGAGCAGGGGCTTGGCGGGCAGGAGGCTTGCCAAGTGAAAATAAAGCTTGCCCTGCAGTCTGACTGCACGGTTTTGGGCACGTGGAAACGTCTCCAGCTTTTTCCACCTGCAAGCTGGGACTCGGGATCGTTTTCCCGCCCCTTTCGAGGGAAGGATGTGCTTGGAGAAGGGCGATGGATCCTCACCTCGCTTCAGATATTTTTCTCTTTTAGAAGCGAGGGGTCTCACTGTTCCTCCCATGTCTCTCTCAAAAAGCAGACGTGGCTCTGATGGTTTTGTGCGCGTGGGGAAGGGAAGGGCTTGGTGCCAGGATCGTGTGTGCCGGGGATGTGCTCCTAAGAGAGGAACCTTTGCAGGTGTTCGGAGCTGGGCGCCTGCAAAGTGCAATTTCATTGACCATTTCAAACAGGAAACCTGATGTCTCACCTCCGTTTTCCTTCTGTCCCTTCTTCCTCCTCTCCTGTCAAGTGCATCGTCACACAGTGAATGATTTTCTAAGCGGCCACCCAAGGGACCAGCCCCATCGGGTTTCCTGTCGAAGGTCAAACGGGATTGTGCCGAAACAGTAAGGTTGCCAGAGGGCAGTCGCAGAAGATGAGAGATAAGAGAGTGGCTAAGGTAGGTTTTGTCGCAATCGAGGTGCGGGGAGGAGCGGAGATGTGCAGAGTATGCTGCTTTAGTCATAGCTTTTGAAGTTACCAAAAATCAAAAAGAAAAAAAGTTAAAAACTTTGAAATCCTATCCTGTTCACACTAGAGAGCATCAAAAGTTACTTTTAGTTGCTTAAAAGATTTTTAAGTGTTTTAAAATAGAACTTTTAAAAGAATACTACCAAACTATAAAAACATAAAGTTATTTATATACATATATTATATATAATTATAGTGGGAAAGTTTCCCTGCTAAGCTTGCTGTGAAGAGAAGGGTGAAGGTGCAGTAACTGCTATACAAGCAACATTTTTCTGAAACAGATGGCAACCGATCCATCAAAGCGTAGTGATGAAGGGCTGACATAAAATGGTGAATGCCTTTGTTCGTATGGCATAACTGTGAGTTTCCTGAGCAGGTTTTTGTTTTACTGTATCGATACTGTGAACGGAGGAGCACCCTAACACCCCAGGACGCCCAGCAGCGCGTCCTGTTTTGCTGATTCACTACTTGCAATCGGCCTGGTGAAAACCATGAAATTGGTCCTTCGTGTCGTTCTAGGCTAGTCTGAAAACAAAGCTTGTGAAAGGTTTTTATTTTTAACTCTTTTATGGGTTTGTTGTTTTGTTTGTTTGTTGTTTTTTTGTTTTTTGTTTTTTTTTTTTTCGTGTTTTGTTTTGTTTGGGTTTTGGTTTTGTTTTGTTTTGTTTTTTTCTTTTGGTGCAGAGGTTGCCACTGTATAAACGATCATTTCTGATTGCATGCAAAAGAGCCAATATTCTTGCCCGGGCCTCGCTGAGGTGAAGTTTATAGCTTGTAGCTAGAGTCAGTATAAGGTATGGTAGTGGGAATCATTTTAATATTATTTCTGTGCATTTAATGGATGTGTATGTGTATGTATGTGTGGGAATCATGGTGTCTCTAATGTTTTCTTGAACAGTGCTGAAAGCAGTTCAGGCCCATCCGCACTAGAAGATGGAACCATTCAGAAGGAATCGTTTATTAAACTTTTCTTTCAGTGGTTGACTTCCTCAGTGCAGATAAGGCCAAGGTTCGAGAAAAAAGGGGTGGGAGTTCGTATACGGTATGGAAAAACCTCACAGTGAGTTTTCTGACAGTGGTGTAGCTACTCGGAGCTGCTTTCTGTAGCAGAGCGATACCATTTTTCGTTGCCTCTCCGCTGGCAAACCGTGTAGCTCTTTACGGTTGCACCGAAGCTGTGGAGAATCAGATGCCAACTTTCCAAGTGCGAATGCTTCTGTGATGGGTTGAGGCACGGCTTTGCATTTCCACGTCTAGCTGCAGCTTTTTCCCCTCTGCCAAAACTGTGATTTCAACTGTGATTTAAGGAGGATGTGAAGAGAACTCTGTCATATTTAATACCTCTGTACGTAACATTTCTATCTGCTTCAGAGTGAAGGCTTACTAACCCATTTGTTTGCTTGCCTCAGGCAACAGGGAGAACACACTCTATTTCTGCGGTTTTCTTTCTCGGAGGGGGGGAACACATTTCTTTGTTCTTTGCTGAGGCAGAGAAACCTTCCAAATGTGAAGTGTTGCGGTTATCTCCTTGAGCCTGCAGAAGGGCCCGGTGCCACGTCCCAGCAGAGTGACGTGCCGGTTGCCGTGGCCGTTCCCTGCTGCTGCCAGGTTCCCTGTGAATAGCTGTGAAAATAACGAGAATTGTGTTAATACTGTGCTGCTGCTTTGGGGAAAAGCTAAAACTCTTCCTCGCGGGAGGATGACCGCTGTGAAGCTGGGGGAAGGAAAAAGCAGAAGGTCTTTTCGCACTCTTGCAATAGGAGTATGTGAAAGCAAGCCGTGCTTCTTATTTCCGGCAGCTCGATAGAGAGGGAGGAACGAGGAGGCTTTATGAAATGTGAATTTATAACAGGAGGCTGAGAACACGCTTAGAGCTGCTTAAGAAGAGGCAGGGCTAGCAGCCCGGCAGGAGTCAGAGCAGCTGACGCAGATGGGCAATCCCTCGTTTGTCCTCCCAGTGTTCTCCGGCCATCAGGTCCAGTCCTTTGACTTACCTACGTCTTCTCTACGATATTTTCAAGCTGTGATCTGTATAATTTAACTTCCAGAAGTTGGGGTGGCTGAAGGGCAGGAAGAACAGAAAGCGTTTTGTGTCTCTGGTGCTGTTTTAAACCCGGCTGAGGTCGGCAGGGCTGGCCGTTCCCACCTGACAGCTATTCAGAGCTGGAATCGCATTCGGAACGAGCTGCGGCCTTGCTGAGAAGCGTGGCGGGGGGGGCTTGGTGGGGAGGGCACGGAGCCAGAATTTCAGCCCTCTGCCAGATCGGGCCTGAAATAAATCAACAGGACAGATCTCCCTGCTCTTGTCCCGCTCTTGTTTTGCGACAGCTAGGTGACTTTGGAGTCCGGGACGGGCCATCCCACGCCCATACGCGGTAGTCATTTCGCTTAAAAGTGTGACGCCCAGGTCGGTCAATGATTTTAAGCAGTCCGGTCTTGGAGCAGAGTCCTTCTGCTGCCTTTGGGTGATTGAACCCTATCGATGCATTTGCAAGAGCGGAGTTGTAGCTTTTATTCGCTGCTGACTTCATCTCCCCTGCAGAACTCGATGTAAGTAAGTAGAAAGACAGCTGAAAAGGTGCAGTTTATTTGGGTGGAAGGTAGCTTGTGAGGTAGACCGAGTCGTGCATCTTTAAAACCAGCAGAAATGAAACTTATGATTTAAACTTTATCAAATTCTCCTCTTCGATCCGTGACACGCCTGCCGATTTAGCCGTACCAGCATCCAAGCGGTTCTGCGGATTAGCGACACCAAATGCTGTTCTTGCTCTGCCGGAAATATTTTGGGGATGGGAGAAGTCAAGGAGCTGTAATTCAGGAAACTTCTCGTTTTTGTCAAGGTTTGGGCTCTGAGTTTGCCCTGGGAGCTGAGCCCGTGGCCCGGGCTGCAGGCAGAAAGTCCCGGGGTGTTTGGATCCGGCATAGCCGGCGTTATCTGGGGGTAACGAAACTCTCGGAGACGCACGTTACTCCTGTGGCAAGGTGAGATCCACGCGCAGAGCTCTGACGCCGTCAGTGGAAGGTCCTAAAGAGGAGCTAAATATCTTTATTTTAGTCGTTGTCATTCAAAGGCTATTTTAATATACAATACATACATGTATGTGTATGTACATTTATATATATATATATATATATATTTGTAACCAAAAGCTAGAACTATGCAAACACTACTGGCTGCTGCTTGAAACTAACGTCTACCAGAACATTTTGGAATCGAGTAGATTTGGAGTAGGTTTGTTGGGTTTTTTTGTTTTTAAATAAAATGCAGCAGACCAGAGTTTTGCTGCGGTAAGTCTTACTTAGGTTAGAAACTTCGGTTATTTCTAATCTGGAACCCACTCGAGTGGGTTGTAAAATTATCTGAGAAGTCCTACCATCTC